AGCTCCCAAGCCCCCTTGCCATCGGGGGCAGAGGGAGGACCTTTGAGGTGGCACGATCACTTCAGCCCTCAGCCCCATTTTGACTGCAGATGTGGCTTCGTGAGTCTTCTCTTGGGCAGCCTGGCAAAAACATGTCTGCTGCATCTACTCTTGCTAAAGCTAGCTGAAAACTCATCTCTAGCTGAGTATTTAAATAACTTTTCTATGGGTTAAGAAAAGGACAGTTTCCCTGCAGCTGGGTTACTGGGAGGGCCAGACAAGCTCTGTGTCACAAGAAGCTGGTAGGAGAAAAAGGGAGTCACTGTTCTTTTCCAGCCATTCCTAGTTCCCTGCTTCCACTGACATACCAGATTATGTGTCTTGTGGTTGCTGGCTGCATTAAGAATTCACATGTGGCTTGTAAAATCAGAAAGATTGTCCATTCCTGGATAAGAAAATGTTATTAACGTGCTTTTGGGTGTACTTTCTCTGTGAAAACAGACACACACATGCACAGAGATACACATACTGGAAAGAACAGGTGTACATGGTCTCTGATTAGTCCATGTAAACAAATACAGGATGCAGATGATTCAAAATTATAATAACTTTGATTTCTATACCACAGAGTTTTAAAGAGATTTCATTCATTACATACATTCTCACCCAGCTCTAGCTCCAAGGACATATCTGAGACAGGGATTTAAAAATATCCATAGTAAAATTTTCTGCTCAGTATAATGTTATAATTCTGAAGTGTAAAATTGCCTGGCTCATTTAAACCAGTAGCCAGTGCTGTGCATCACCTGGATCCTATGAGTTTCTCTTTTTCAGTGGGCTCACGAGAGTGTTTCTTCACTTTCTTTAAGACAGGGACCACCTAACTTTTTAGGATAAAGAACCTTACACCAATTATATCGCTGCTGCCACAGTAGTTTTATTTCCAGCAGCTAAACACCAGACACTTCCATACATTCTTATTTTCTCCATTTTTTCTCCTTACTGCTGTGGCGTGAGAATATGTAGGGCTTCTTATTTTTAATAATGCTTGTAACTGGTACGCGGATGATTGCCTGAAGTTTTACAGACCACTAGATGTCCTCAGCTAGTGTGAAAAATCACTTGTGCAGTGTGCTCCTCTCTCCTTGTGAGTTTATAAGCCATCAGCACTGCAGGATGAACTTTTTGGTACTCTTTGACCTCTTGCCAGCATAATTTCAAGGAAGAAATGTCACATTTGTACGAGTACAGGGAAAATATTTATTTAGCAGGTGTGTACGTATTGTTTTTATCTGCTGATGATAGGGGCAGCACAGCACTCTGGAATGTGTGTTGCATTTATGGAGTGGATTAATGGGCAGAGTAAAGGTTATTGTCTTATAAACACAGCTGATCACATGCATCTGCCATTTCTCAGTGCCTCCTTATAAGAGATGGGATGGGGTTGGAAAAAATAATCTGAAATAGAGGCCTCGAATGAAGCCATATTTAGATACTGAGCTGATTTCTTCAAAAGCGCTTTTCCTAAATAACTCTTACAGGTCAGTAGAAGCCATTGTAATAAAAATCTGTGTATATGCGTGCCATCTATCATAAATCACTTCATCTGTGATTGAATTCTGGGCAAACTTGTGGCAGATGTTTAACACATAATGTCACAGCAGTTCTCTGCAAAATACTTGAGCAGGACAGGAAGAATGCCATGAACCTGCAAGAAGGTTTTAGTTAGGGAGGGAAGATGCAATTACCAAAGCTGGATGTGTCTAGGACACTGGGGAAAACCCTCTCGCTTTTGAAAATTTGAGTTTAACAGCTTTAAACACCTGATAGCCATATTTATCTATTTATTTATTTGCCAAGGAAACAGATTGTTTAAACGAAAACAGGCAGCATTTCCTAAGCAAAGAAGCAAACAAACAAAAAACTTTAGAAAATAAATAAAGGAAAAAAAAAGTTTTTTCTCTTGTGACACCTTAGTGGGAAACCATGACACATTCACCACAGAAACACACTTTCTGGGCTGCAGGTCAGCTCTGTCAACATTTCGTGTTTGAAGTTGATCAATTGTAAAAAGTGGAACTCCACTGGGAGACCAACATAGGGGGTCCAGGTTAGAGCAGTGCAGAAACAAAAGAGAAACCTATCTGCAAGGATGACAATTAAATGTCTTTTGCTATTAAAACATGTATATGCCCTAGCAGTTATTGATGACCTTGCAAATATCCACATCCAACAATCAAATGGTTCAGCACACCAATTTTTTAGGTTTAACTGAAATGACAGTATTGCAACAAAACAAGCAGAGGAAAATTGCTACGTGAAAGCAAGCACCTTGTGTAACACATATCCTTTCAATCTCCAGAGGAATTTTGTTGACTTGGGCTACCCATTAAATTTGCCACACGGATTGAGCAAATAATCTCCTACAGCAGTTCACAATCTTTGGAATAAGTCAGTTCCAATTCTGCTAGGCTGCAGAGTGATGGACTAGGTGGTTTCTTAGGTTCCCTTCCGGGCCAAAATTTCTGTGACATTAAGGCACATCTCTGAAGCATATAAACAAGAATCAGAAAGATAATGGTGGATGAATGAAACGTATCAGAGTACATTCTCCAAGAAACCAATGCATTCCTCAAAGGGATACCTACCAACAGTTTGCACAGGAGCTGCTTTAAGTAGAAGGAAGCTGTACAGCACCATCCTCAAAAAAGATTGAGAGAGTGCAGAGGAATTCTTTTCTTGGCTACCCCGCCCAAATGAAACAACTTTCTCTGGTTGCTACTGACAGGAATTTGTTAAAATGATGTACACCTGAAGTTTATATTTGTATTTGTACAAAATATAAAGCTAGTGCAAGGGCTGTTCTGGGAGATGTTCTATCCCATTTTCAGCTAAGGTTGTGTTGCATGTGGGATGCATATATCTCAGTAAGAAAAAAATCTGAACTATATATTTCCCAAACGTACACACTGGTTACATCACCGTGGGAGCTACACTGTGGATATTGAGTACTATATGGCCCCAAATCACACACACAGATCATAGAAAAAATGGGAAGGAAAGCGATCAAGCAGGTACGATTTTACCTCATTAGCAGCATGCCAAAGGTTATAATGTACCATGGATTCCTGATGTGGTCTCACTTCTGCCGTGCAGCCTCTACTCAGCTGCATAAGACCTTAAAACAGTGCTGCTATCATTTCCTTAATGCTCTGATTCAATATGTTTCAGAACATACCTCCTTGCCTCTAATTATGAGAGAGCACTGCTGTGAGATTTGATAGAAAAGCATGCACCCATGCTGTCAATCCAATTCACAGTCAGCAAAGAAGCCCTGACATGCTCTGGTATGCAATTACACTTGGTACGTCCAGTATGTTGACTGTGCCACAGTGAAGCAGATCAAAGCTTCAGTGTATTTCTTTTTCAGTCAGGTGTGCTGCCTCACTTGAAGAACAGGAATGTGCTAGACATTCATTGTATAAAAACAAAAATATCATTATTACAGTGTTGCTAAATAATGGTGCATCTCCCTTTCTGTACACTCTGTTTAACAAAAACGTGCAATTTACAACATTAACAAAATAATGAAATATTCCATGTTTCAATGTTTCTCTGTTGAGCATAGTAATGAAATAAAGACCGATATGTTTTATCTACTCAGTTGATGGCTTAGGCACTAATCAGATGTTTGTTGTTATTTTTGGCTGTCACACATGAAAAAAACATAGCAGAAACCTTCTTTTAAAAAAGAAATCTTTAAAAACTCGTGCATGTAGAAAGGAGACAATGGCTTCTCATGGTTAGCTGCTTGTTGATTTAAGGTACTTAAGGGAACTAGCGCAAAACTACATAACCTCATTCTCTTCTGCTGTAAACCAAAGCACTTCCACTGCAGGTTAGTGGAGATATAATAAGCAGGGGGATTAGGCCCTGTGGTGCATGTATGAGAATTTCCCATTGAAAACACCGGCATGAAAACCTTTCCTTTGCCCTATGTGTTCTGTATGCTTATTTCCAATATTATGTCATTTCAAAGAACATGAGTAAGCACAGTCAGCAAGCAGAAGAATATTACCTTGTCTCATTGTCAGAAATTTCTTTTATATCCTAATACTAAATTCACAGTCACAGCTAATTAAGATGCAGTAAACACAAGCTGCATTTTCAGCCAGGGCCTTTACCTTTCTGTCTGAATATACTGACATTCAACTCTAAGAACAGTATCTGCCCTATTATCCAAAAAACCTGTTGCTGATAATTTAAATAACCCTTCAACAAAATTCATAGGACATTATTGGTCCTGATGACAAAGTATTTGAAGCAGGTATTTCACTTTAAATGTCCATTTAAGCAGTGGGATATTACAGAATTGATGTGAAAATGCAAAGATCCTTCCTTGTTTCTCTGGGACAGCGATGCATCAGCAGTCATCATCACCCCTAATAAAGAGAAGCACCCCTTCTCCTCTTGAAAGAAAAAGACCCCACACTACTTCACACGTCCATCACAAACTTACAGCCTTTTATGCACAACTCATGTCATCCTGATCAGAAAGCAATTCTGCAAGTAACCTTGCTACAAAACAAAAAGCTGTAGCTCAGTGTCATTGGTCTGATTTAAAAATCACAAACACATGGAGAAACTGTTGTGCAATTTTTCTGATTAAGGAAAAACACTACACTTAAAAAAATGTAGATTAGCCTGTTCTAATCACAAGTCAAGTTTAAAAATAATCTCACAAATTGTCCAACTTCTCACCTGTATCTCAGTGTGGTGAGAAGCTTGTTACAGAATGGTCCAGTCATAAACACACCGAATGCATGACTAGCAGCATTTGCCAAGGTTGACCCTTATCTGGCTTCAGTTGCATAAAAATGCCTTTGACATCAGCTGGAGCAAGTTTGGTTCCTCATTACATCACAAACCCAGGAGAGAAAATCTCTTCTTGTGACTCTCTTGCATGCATCTGGAAACAGGTTCCAAGAGCAATTTGCTGAGCATATTTGTCTCAGCATATAGAAACAAATCATCGCTGTTTTTTTGCCAATTGGGGGCAAACATTATTTACATCTGATCACTGCAGCTCTTAATGGGAAAAAAATAAATGCTCTAAACCATCCTGACATTGCGTGCAGTGCAGGATGTATTACTTCCTTACTTCAATTCCTGTGTGCACAACTGACGTGCACATGCATGCGCATGTTGGTTCTTCCTGCCCAAGATAAACCTTGGCTTGTTTAGATTCAAGATGAAAAGTAGTATTCCACCACTGCACAATGTCCTAAAAAAGCTGACATTTACAAAGCTCTTACCAAATGTGTTCATTAAACATCACGTGCATCTTATGGCCATATGCAGCAGTATAATTCAGAGTGTATATTTTATAGGTTTCTTTTTCTGTTTTACCCACTGATTATTATGTGCTGTAAAACCTCAGTTATCCAAACCAGTCAGGGGAATGAAAAAGGGAAATAAAAAGTAGGTGATGGAAAAGTCTGTTAATAAATGCCACAGAAAAAGCAGTCCACACAATGTCAAGATCATTGTGTCATTAATGCCCTTTTTCTTCCTACAAAAACAATATTAGTATGAAAAAAGCACTAAAAGCAACTAAATAGCTTACCTCTTTTGTAGCACATTCTTACAAACAGCAGGCATTTTTAAAAACTGTGGATGAATGCACAGCAAATTTTATCCTAATTTACACTGCAAATCCAAAGTCTGAGATGGAATAGTACAGCTGAAAGTAACAGGTGAATTTTTACACAGCTGATAACAGGAATGACTTAAAAGATGCAAGAGTATATCTGGAAACATGTACTCATAACAAGCTGAACTATCCAATTCTTCCACAGTGGGCAGACATACAGAGTTAACATGGCTGCTGATATAAATGGAAGCTTTCCCAAATAATTTCAGCTTTCTCCATTTACAATCCAGCAATACTTGGCACCCAAGTGCTGTTACTTATGCTCTGGATAGCTGTAAGCACAAAATTTTGTACCTGATAAAAACCACAGATGTGCCTGGGAATTATTCTTAGTTGTCAGACCTGTAAAAATGAGATGGTGATATTTAATAAGACACCCTGCTTTAAGGAAAAAAAAAAAAGCATATGCAAAGACACAACAATATAAAAAATCCCAACTGTACCCTGATATGTCCAAGAACCACATTACACACATATGTGCTGTTTTTTTTTTTAAGTCATTTTCTCATGTCCAGTGATTTTTAGTGCACATTAAACTGCTAGCCTTCACTGAATCCTGTGGAGTCCACATGTGCTAACTAGTGTCTTTTAAGGCTAGTAATTTCTCACTGAAGTGTTTCCAGTTGATTTGGCCTGAACTCATTCCAACCAAAGGTTTTTGTACTTGCGAGATCACTGTCATCAGTATACATCTTAGTGTCATGTCCTTAAGGGTCCAATCCTGCACATGAAGTTTTTCAATGCTAAGGAAACCCAGCAGATGCTTGTAGCCTCTCTGGTACAGGACAGTTCAGTGCTTGCTTTCAGGCAGTTGGCTTCTTTGCAGCAGCTTGTGTATTCGTCCTCATTCGCTTCTTTCCTGAGTAGTAATCTAGAGAATAACATGCAAACAGACAAAATTACAACTGTGATGCTAATAAGGGCTGCTTCAAAGAAATCTCCTGAATCTTGTTTTTGTCATTTGGACTCCTCTAAGGCTAGTGAATGGATAAAACTAATACTTTTAGTATGTTCCATATAAAACTGTGTAATACCAAGCAAAACAAAGGAAATATGCTGGCTTTTATCCAGTTTTGATCAAAAGGCTCTATTACACAAGATGAGCAATGTGACATTTAACTCCAGTTTTTAGATCTACTGCTGCAGTGCTTTCCAGTCAGAAATAGTTATTTTTTCCTCCTTAAACATTAAAAAAAAAAAAAAAAAAAAAAAAAAAATCACCAAGAAGAAACATCTTTATGGACTACTTTATTTCTGCTTATTAGATCAAATGTGGACTCAGGCAGGGCTGCATAAAACCTTGCACTGCTACTGAATTATAACTTATTCTTCTCTCAGGTAGTAAGTACTATAACTCAAGGAGAGAGAACTCCTTTCTCATACAGTCATGTGGTTGAGCTTCTGTTTTCAGTGGCAAATATGTCAGTATTAACTACAGAACTACAAATACAACAAAGGGTTTATATAAGATTTAACCCCCTGCCTCCCACCCTCACACTGAAAAAATACTCTTTTCAGGTAGATAGGGCTAAATTAGCTGAAATAGAAGATAGATGCTTATTTTATGTTTAGAATTGATGGGCTTACCTGGTGTCATTTATTTGTACCCAATAACAAAAATACTATTTAAACTAACCGAGGATATGGGCTTCACAGTGTTTAAACCTGAGCTTTGCGTAGAGTCAAATTGGCAACATGAACATGAAGAGCAATAGTCCACTGCACTCTCTCACAAGAGAAAAAGAATAGCAGAAAGTAACGTAATCCTTATTACACCCATTTATAAGACTCCTACATAGCTATCTTTTATTTCACTTGGGGAAAATAAATGCATGATGGACATGCTTAGCAGGTGGAAGTCAGAAAAGAGACAATCATTATTCCCATTTCTGCCTATGAAGAATTCAGCTAGAGGCCAGCTGCTGTGTGCTCGCATGCCTCATAGCTGAGACCAGTTTCAGAACTGATGGAAGCATGTAATAGAGGGATACAGACTCCCCAGAGCCATATTTAACAGTTCTAGCCTTTCTCTAAGACACTAAACAGAGTCCATGGAAGATGACTACTTTCACTGAGGGCCTCTGAAGAGCAGTTCCACTGGCATAAGCAACATACTGAGTAGGAATATCTTGCCTGCAGCCCATCAGTAGGAAAACCTGAGCGCAGGGACCTAGGAGGGAATAATTTCTGTTTAAACGTACTTTCCTAAATACCGGATTTCCTTTCATCCCCATTTTGTCCCATCCGCCTTGCAGAAAATGGGGCTTTATAACTGTTTCTGAAGCAATACCAGCTAGTGAAGACGCTAGATTGTTAGGAATTTTCTCAACCTTTAAGCAAAGGAGACCTAAAACCTCTCCAAGAGCAGCCTAGGTTTGAACCAGACTGACACAAACCAACAAGTTAAGAAGTGTAGAGGTGGTGTGGTTCACCAACCTTTGCTATTGAAGAAAAAAATAAAAAGAAAGGGAAAATATGAAAAAGACTTATAGCCTATAGCTGATCTGGTTTTTGAACCAGAAAACAGTAGAACCACACTGGGACCACAGTCAAAAAGGAATGAGGATGGAGCGGTGTACATAAAAGGGGTGGGAGATAGAAGGAAAAACCTACCTTTTGTGTTGGTTAGCTCTCTGCATGTTTAAGGAGTCAAACAGAGCAGGAAAACCTCTGCTCCTTCCACTCCAGAGGCACCAACATCCACAAAACCCCACAGCTGACTTTTACTATGCTGATATTTATTTAATGGCCCACAGCTGTCTTTTAAAGTCTAAATTAAACACACATTGTTGGACCTTAATGTAAAGCACTGCAGTGTTTTTGTTGACTGAAGGAGAATGCAGCCATGCCGATAACTGTGCTCAGATCCAACCTCAGATCTCAGTGCTAAACAAACTTCATCAGAGGATGGTAGAAGCTGAGTGAATGGGCAGAAGCAATGGGTCAGAGTGTATCAGTAGATATTACTTTCCCATAAAATTGTCTGAGTTTTGCCTGAATTTCTTCAGTTGTACCCAAAAGTTTTCTGATGCTAGAGGGAAACTTCTAACGCATAGTTCAACTGGCAATACGAAGGCTGTAAGCTTTTGTGTCTATCTGTATGTCTGTCACTCTGTGTGCAGGAATGAGAGAGAGACTGATCTCCAACTTTCATCAAAAAAGACAACTGCAAACTATTTTCTTGGCCCATTTCATAGACCCAGATTCCTTGGGGAGAAGGGTACTGATATTGTGATATTGGACTAAAGTGTTTTTTCTTATGAAAATATATGTGGGAAAGTGTTAAACTGTGTAGTGTGGTATTCTGGTTTCCATATCCCCTGTTGAAATGTTTCTTGCCTGGGGAAAAAAAAAAACAGAAGAAAAATATCCTCTGGAAATATCTTCATAATTTACTCCCACACACCCAGCGAAAGATTTACAATTGAGCAGCAGTTCCCTCAAACCATCACAGCACTGTACTCTGAATTACTCTTCTGTACTCCTACCTGTAAATTATACTGTTAATTAGTTAATGGCTGTAAAGTGGTTTGGAGAAGAAAAGAGCACTCATTAAATATCATTGCTCTGTACACTAGTGTACAGTGTTCACTCTTCATTAATCTCCAATCTCACCCCCAACCTCTCTCTACCAATTAAGTTCCATACCCTCAAATAGCAAATTATTCTATTCCCTGATTTACTGTGATCAACATCGCTGTTCAGAAAGTGTTTCCTGAACCTTAGCTTCAATTATCTCCAAGGCTATTTCAAGCCGGTGTCTTACATCAAATTCCAAAAAGGAAATCTTTGGTCTAGGTCTTGAAAACTTCAGACTTGGATTAACAAAATCCTCAAAAGGACATGATTTTTCAAATAAGCTCAAATTCCTGTTGAGAACAGTAAAGGGTGGGGGTGCAGGGGGGAATTTCCAAAAGATCTTGGTATGCAGATGCTAAAGACTTTCAAGAACCGAAAGCTCTTTTATGGATGCTGAAACTCCTTTGTTTTTACATCTGGCAGTAAGTTCTGCTCAGTGGCATTTGAAGACCTAGCCTCTTCTGCCACCTGGCCAAGTTTAACAACGATCTGCCCTTACATTTCTCAGATGCCTTTGCTGAGAATAATATCCAAGCTGAAGTCAGAAGGTGAACTGATTCCTGCTTGAGAAATAACTCCACTGCTTTTCTCACACTGTTGTCTAACCCTCCTAACCATCCCAATCAAGTGGTCACTATCTTACCGCTCTGACTCTGGTAGGTCCTAAAGGGACCCTGAGGGCCAGGAGATGGTTATGGCCCAGTACCTCCGAGAAACACATCACACGCCCATTTATTTATATTTTATTTTCTTTCAGATGCTGCTATAAAAGGCTGCATTTTTTTTAAAGTAATGCCAGTGCATGTTCCTGCCACAGAATTTCTTGTTTGGAACCAGGTTTGGTCATCAGAGTAATACCAAGGCCTCTCATACCTGTTAAAGACATCTGTCTTCTTTTCTTTCCTTCTGGGACCTTCCCAGCTCCTGTTTGCTTGGAAGCCTTTGGTTTCTCTGCCAGTGCCGTCAGGGTCAACCGGTGAGCCTTTTCTTCCCTACACAGGGGCCGATTCAGGTGCCGCAGTGGCCTCCGGCTCTCTCTCACCACACAGCTGTGATAGAAGGTTGGCACCTCATGGCCCCCCAGCTCTTCCCACTGCAGGAATCCCTCCATTGGCACATCCTGTAGGAAATCGAAGTTCCACTTCTGCTTGGCCCCTTCGATATTGCTGCACAGCATGTGCTGGAAGTCCCAACGCAGCTGCTCATGGTCTACTGGGCCAAAGAGATTCCGCTGGCTGTGCGCTATCCTCCCCAACTGCCACTCCATCTTTTCTCCCTGGTGCTGCTCTCTGGCGAGTGCACCCAGGAGCGATTCCCTGCTGAGGACAGAAAGACCATTATCTGCGTGTGGCAGTAAACCCAAATCCCTTTGATTCTGCCATGAAGACTCCTGGCTTATTTTGGATGAAATTTATCCCAGTATCTAGACCAGAGCAAAAATCCCTATTGAATTCTATAGGATTTGTCTGTGGCAGCAGCTTTGACAGGGAACAGGTAAAGCTGAAATGCCTTCACCTCTTATGTGCATCCATATTCCAGTGTATACCAAGCAGAGGTTTGCTGTATGGGGACAGAGCTGTACAAGGAAGTGGAGAACACTCCTCGGGGCAGTGACTGTTATTTTTCTTTGTTGTGCTTTGTTTACACTGCCTAACAGTGAGCAGTCTTGTTTATAGGACTCAGACTCCTAGGAGCTGCTGTAGTATGAACACTGGCAAAAGAAAGCGCATAGAGGTGGGAGTTGAGAAAACTGCCAAGAACATCTTTTTAAACAAAGGAAATGTACTGAAAAGGAGGACTTCTAGAACAAATAATGGAGGTGGCAAACAAGAAAATATACAAACTAGTTTAGTTTTACAGTGGAGGTAGTATTACCATCCCAACTACTCTAACCATTTATTTTACAGCATTGGCCAGTTAGAGGACAAAGATGACCAGAGATATCACTTGGCTGTTGCCTGATACTTTTATTCCTATGTCCTGAAGCAAGTGCTTGAGAAATGTCCCAGTCCCAGGCAACAGGATCTCATTTCTGGTATCAGCAAATCCCATTCAAGCACTGGGCAGGCCAGCATGTGGGCAAGAAAGGTTTGCATTTTCCCCTGGCAGGTAAGGTGGAGGCATGGCAATGATGAGGAAATAAATCAGGCATTTTGCAAATTTCACAGACCAACAAGGGCTGGTACATACAGTTACCAAGTATGTTCACCTACTAATTTCTGCTCAAGTGCTCAACTTCTGAAAGAGCTTGAAAATAGATCTTCAGTATCATTCAATTATTTCTCTCCCTGCATTCCAAAACTCAGTCCCTTCTCCAAAGCTGCAGATGCACTGCAGAGGACAGGCTAAGAAGAAACTTTAGAGAAAAATTAGCAAAGAGCCATGGTTTGGATCTGTTGCACTACTGAATTCTGAAGGGTATGAAGAATTTAGAGATTGAGCTAAGAGAGTTTACCAACTATCTGCAGACCATGCAGATAGTTAAAAATGCAGCAGCATAGCTTTTGCAGAGCCACACGTATAGGCTTGGTCTCCAGCATCCCAAAGGGTGCTTCTGCCGCAGTAGACACAAACCCAGATGCTATTTCTGTAACCACCCTTCCCTATTATTTCTGCAGGTCTGCATCTAATCTAAGCAAACTCCAAGCACCCCTTTGCACTCATGCCCTAGTGCCTGTCACTTTGTGGCTATAGTATCAAGAACTTGTCAGCCAGAGGTTGCTGTTGGCATAGAGATTGTTTTGCACACCAATTGCAGCGAGGGGATGCAGTCACCTCATTTCAGGTGGAAGCTGAGCATCAATTTTGCAGGTGATAATGCAGAGTAGCAGAGCTCCAGAGAGGCAGATGGGCTCTTGCATCCATTTGTGAACCTTATTCCTTGCCCCTAGTGGCTCTGAAATAGTGGACCATGGATGCATGGCCCACAGTCATTGGAAACTGATATTGGACTTCCAGGCGTAGGTTGCCCTTCTGGTACGTGTATTTATTTCCAAATGTGTGTGGTGCTCTGAAGGCTGATGGCTCCCAAAGGTAGAGACAGGCACATGTGAGTGTTAGGACAGAAAGCAGTGGAGTTTCATGCAATTACGGTGTCTCCCTGGCTCCTATCAGTGCTACTGCATCATGCCACATGACTATAACCCCAGTAGATGCTCCTATGCGGTCGCAGCAAAGTCTTTGGGAAAGTACTTTCTCAAGAAGCATCAGAGAGCACGCCAACAAGAATAATCCTTGAGGAGGCATCCAGAATCCCAAAACTTAACATAAACTTTTCTCCGACTTGCGTGCAAACTTGCCCTCAGCCATGGGGATGCTCAGTGGTGCTGGCTGTCACTACAGCTAACAACAATCACACTGCTGCTGTGCTGCTTTTTCATCTGGTGCCAAGAACCCAGCAACCTAAACTAAGCTCATTGAAAGGCAATCTGTCAGTCTCAGGAAGGCACAGCCAGTGCTTTGAAGGAAACGTGAACTAGGAATTGCATTACAAATTGGCCTTTTGGAAAGAGCCAATCAGGGCCAGGAAGAAAGAAGGTGTTCATCAGACATTTGCTGCCTCCATTATTTTTTTTAAAATTTATTTTAACAGCACATATGAATGAACAAGGAGATAATCTGTCTTACTCTGTTCATGATTACAAGAACAGGGGAAGAGCTGCTCCAGGGCAGACTATGAACCATGTGTCTTGTCTTTAGGGCTGTTTAATTCCAGGTGTTTCAAAAGAAGATAAAAAGCCTGCAGAGAGGATAATTATAGAATAACCTTTCCCTACAGAAAGTTTCCTCCTAATGCTCTTAATTATGTAATGAATCACACATGCTTATAACTATTCTAAACTTACATCATGCGTATATGTGGACCGTTGCTGTTTCCATTACTCACAGTCACATCCAGAGTTAAATCCTGGCCCAGCTGCAGCTGGTGCAAGCTTACTGCTGCAGAGCTCAGATGCTTTTTGCAGGGCACTTTCCAGGTCTCACTCTAGGGCTGCACTATCACTATTCCCACATGCTGGTCTGAGCTGCAAGGCTGAATTAAACACCTGCAGAACCTAACTGAAACCCTTCAGAAACGCAGAAACATCGGTAGGGTCTCCTTTCTTGATCCACATTTATTGTGACACCCAATAAGTTGCAAGCCCCATGCTGCCAGCATTAGACCTACCCGTATAAGTGTTGCTCCTACAGGCAGGATGCAGGAAAGAAAGCTATAGGGAGCTAGAAGTGGCTGAGCTGTGTTACGGGCTAGCTCCGGGGGAAAGAAACACAAACTTCCTCAGGTGCTTGCTTCTTGGGTCATGCTTTCAGAGTATCAGAGAAGCAGTAGGTGGCATTTCCAGCCTTCCCACGTACACACAATTTAAAAATATATAAGCCAACTAAAAGATGATGATTTGGGAATGGATGCTGTGGATTATTTTTTTTTCGTTCTTCCGATGCAGGTCTGTTTCTGTCCTAATGTTGACCCCGAACGAGCGTTGCCAGTTATGAACGTTTGCCTTCCAGCACCTCGCTTGCCTGCGGCAGATGCTCGCACATTTCTATACAAACCCTCCTGCAGAAGGGCACACCTCCCGTCAGGGTGCACCGGCAGCCCCGACCCCGCCACGCACGGCCACGGACAGCCCCTCTCCGCCACCGCAGCCCGCACCCGCTCCCTCCCGTCCCACCGCTGCTGATGGGCGGAGCTCACTTACATGCGGGGACACGCCGAGTGCCGCCCCCTGCGTTCTCCTTCGCGCGGCCCAGGGAAGGGGTGTCCCCGGCAGCGGCGGACGACGAGGAAAGCAGCCCGGGTCTCAGGCTACCGCCGGGCTCGTAAAGCGGCGTGGCGCAGCGCGCCTCAGCCCGGCTCCCGCCCTGCCCCGCCTCACGTGCCGCCGGGAAGGGCTGAGCTGAGCCGGGCCGGGCGCCTCGCCAGACGGCGCTGCACGTGGCTCCGCAACGTGAGGGCCCCAGGCGGCTCCGGCCAGCTCGGCGAGGCCGTGGGGAGCCGATCGGCCTCGGGCTGGTGGGGCTGCGTGTCTCGTGTGCGGAGGAGCGCGGGGCGGCTGCGAGACTGAGGAAAAGGTCATGTGGAAAGTGGGTGTTTCTACTGTCGGAACCTCTCAGGTGAATGGGCGAAATGGGAATTTTTGGCCCCCCAAGAATGAGGTGGCTGAAGACAGAGAGGCTGGGCTGTGAGGATGGGGATGCGGATCGTGCTTGCACAGAATCACAGCATGGCTGAGGTTGGCGGGATCTCTGGGCCCATCTGTCCCAACCCCTGTTTGAGCAGGGCTGCCCAGGGCAGGTTGCCTAGTCCTATGCCCAGGTAGCTTTTGAAGATCCTTGTGGAGAAGACTCCACAGCCTCTCTGGGCAACGTGTGCCTGTGCTCTCTCATCCGCATAGCGCAAAAGTGCTTCCTCATGTTCAGAGGGAACCTCTTGCATGTCAGTTTGTGCCCATTGTGTCTTGTCCTGGCACTGGTCCTCTGAAAAGAGCCTGGCTTGATCCCAGGTGCACCTTCAGGTGCTTGTGGGCTTTGCTTAGATACCCCTGAGCCTTCTCCAGCCTGAACAGGCCCAGCCCTTTCAGCCTCACAGAAGACGTGCTCCCAGACCTCATTCACCTTCTGTGACCCTTTTTCTTGGGTGTGGGCAATAATCAAGGTCAGGAGGCTTGTGCCAACCTGTGAATCTGCAGCGTCCTTCTCTCCAAGGTGGCCCTATTTGTGAGATGGCTGTCTAAACTCAGCTGTCTAAACAGAAGGACCCTGAGATAGATCAGTCTGCAGCACATGTTTATATATAATTGTGATAGATGATGTATTTTCCTGAGCAGTTTTAACAGTATGTTGCTTTTCACAGAAGGAAAGTGTTTTCCAGTTGCTCCCCAAAAATGTGTGAAGAAGGCTGAACAAGCCCTCTGTAGCAAGGTAGGCTTGTACTGTTTTCTGCATTTTTCAGGTTAGAAAACATAGGTGAGAAGTGGGGTGGCATTTTGTTAGCACTGGAGCACTTCGGTATTTCCATTTCTGCGTTTGAAAGGTCTGCTTGTTTGTATTGCTCTGGGTTTCTGTACTGTTACTCATGAGTTGGAAGAGAGAGAGAAACTGGAGAAAAGTTATGCTTTACTTCAATTCATTTACAAACCAGAAAACCTATGATTTTCTTCAATTTGTTTACAAACCAGAAGGAATAGCATTAATGATGATCAGACAGACTAAGCTAGGGAGTGTCAGGGGCAGATGTGAGAATGACTTTGAGCTGTTCCCATCAGAGCATTCCACAGCTCTCGTCAGCCTTCCTACCACCTTATTTCCCAGCCTCCCCCCCCCCTACCCCCCCCCCACCAGTGTTTTGATTTTGCTTTTGGTTTGTAGTGTTCTTCTTGCTGCAGGGGTTGTGCTCCAAAGGATTATTTTCCAAGTTGGATTTGCCATCCATTCTGACTTTCTGAGATCACTCATCTTTTGATGTCTCACACTCTCCACTTGATTCCCATGCACAAATGTCTTACAGTTTATGAGGTGGGGGAAAATACAGTGGATGATGAATGTGCCTGTTGTAAAAAGAAGACCATATGTATGTTGCCCGTTTTTCTGTCTTGTACTTGTCACATCCTCCATGTGACATCTAGAAAACTGAGGAAAAAAAATGAAGGATATTGGTGGTTTTGGTGAGAAAGAATTGTTAAAGTAAGGCAGATATAGTAGATATGAAGATTGACATCATTGTTACTATTATGTCAGCTTTGGTCTCTGCAATGCCAGGGATGTGTGTTCTCTCTAACTTGTTGCCTCTCTGAGTAAGCAAAAAGGCAAATTGCTGCTATAGGTCAGAATGCTCTAATAATGTGTGCCTTGAAAAATGCTATTGAGTAAGTTCCTATTTTCAGTTAACTTCTTAAGTGGAAAGATAAATGGAGACAAAAGAGTCAATGCTGCAATATCTATTCACCTGTTCACTAGAGATTAATTTTCAAATAGGCTTAGGAATATTGTCTGTATCATAAAACCCAGACATAAACACTGGAAAAATTAAGGACCAGACAATCATCCACACTCCATTTATCCTCTTATGCATTTAAAATATAATCACAGAAACTTGACCCTGTATGATTTTAAGGACATAGGAAAACTCCAGATTTTTTCTCCCCTCCTTTGCTTCCTAAAGCAGGTTTTCCATTAGTTTTCATATATGCAGTAACTCAGTAACTGAAACAGTATAACCTTCTTACGAAAAAGCATAGCTTGAAGGCTCAGTTTTGAGAGAAAGGTAGGGAGAACCCTCTCTATAGGGAGAAAAAACCTGTTTTTGAAAAGAAGTGATGGTTTAGGTGTCTTCAGCGTGCAATGTAATGACTGTTCACGAGTAGGTCTGAACCCCCCAAATTGCAGTTCTTTATGTCCAGAGCTGCTTTGATGGGATAACCCTGTGCTCTGTCTGGATTCAGTATGGTAAGATGGGGAATAAGGAGGGCTGGGAGGGCAAGAAAAGTAGAAAAAGGATGTATTTCCTAAAGAGAAGTATGGTATCACCTATCTTCTGGTTCTGTCAGCTCTGTCTGTCTGATCTTGCAGATTGGCAGCGCTAAGGAGGAAAGAGTTCATGCACCAGCAGCAAAGGCAGAGAGTCCATCACAGTCCTGCCTTGTTCTCTCCAGCCAGGCAGGATGTGCTCTTTGTATCGGGACAGCTGACAATCAGGTAAATAAAGATAAGGGTGCCAGAAAATTTGCTGTTTACTTCTGGGCTCTGGCCACAAGTCTTCCTCATTACTGTATGTGAGAGGGATGTTTGGAGCTGCTCTATGTTATTACCTGAATCAAATTTTTGGTCCTCAGTGTTTAGGCAGTCAGATTCAATCATCCTTTGCTTTTGGTCAAGTTTTTCTTATGTGACAAGCAGCAAGACTGCAAAACAAAGCTATGTAAATTGGTACTGTGCATCTGAAGAGAAGCTCTTCAGCTACGTTTTGTAATTTCATCCCCCTTCATTCACTCCAATATAGTCTTTCTTAAGAGGTTCTTATTTTTAACTGTATTTTCAGTGTTGTAATTCAGAATTCAACCCTTTGTTTAGGGTGAAAGCTACTATATGATGTTCCCAGTGTGTTCTGGAGAGTGTTGCAGACTCCAGCATGTATAGAAGAAATGAATTTAAATAAGTTAGTTTTGTAAACAGAGCTTCCAGAGGAGGGCCATGAAGATGATCAAGGGGCTGGAACACCTCCCCTATGAAGAGAGGCTGAGGGAGCTGGGCTTGTACAGCCTGGAGAAAAGAAGGCTGCGGGGTGACCTCATTGCAGCCTTTCAGTGCCTAAAGAAGAAGGAGAAGTACTTGGAAGCAGGTGACCTGCTGTTTTATTCAGCTAGGGACTGTGAGGGACAGAAGAGATCCGACACTTGGGACCAACCTTTCTAATGAAATGGTCTGACTGGCATTATTAGGAGGGGGCTATGATGGCCAGTGTATGTGGTCACCTGGAGTCAGTCGTGATGGTGAAGGAGGGAGGTCACAGCACTGAGCTTCATTTTGGTTTCTGTTTTTTTTGTTATTTTTTCCTAGTGGAAGCACTTGCTTTTGGTTAGTCAGAAGAGCAAGTGCTTTTGTAACCTTCCTGCCATCAAAGCTGCCCCATATCTGTCAAGGCTTTGAAGAAAGTTGGAGCTGTGTCAGAATCTTGGCCTTAGGCCTCCTTTTGAGGCCGGCAGTGATGTCAGCGGCAGAGGGTTTGGGCTAGCCCTGCTCAGTTTTGAAAAATCCCTCCTTCAATTTTGATCCCTTTCCAGCTGTTTTGCTCATGAACCGGGCCAGGAGGTCTGCTTTCATTCACCCAGCTGCATCTGCAGTTATGATTGGCTGGAATAAAACTTCAACATCCTTGACGGCTGTGTGCTTCAGAGCAGTGCCTGATCATCAGCAGGTGAAAAAGCTAGTATTTTCTTGTGTAATTCAGTGCATGGTGTTTTATGCCTTCCTCTGGAGCGTCTGGCTCTAGTCACTGTCTGAGATAGATGCTGGGCTAGATATAGCATCTATCTGCCCCAGTATTGCAGTGCCTATGCTCCTATCTCCCTTGTGGGCTGAAGTCCTGTGATATCCTTCCAGCTGGTAATATGCCCAGGACAGAATTTTAGCACCGTCTGCCACTTGAAATGCTTACAGCCTCAATTCTTGAAAATAAACCTGTTTGAATGAAACAAGTGTATGGAAATGAGCTGTCTTCCCTGGTCCTTTTGCTATCTCTCTGGGGATGGCAGAGTGTGCAGGAGAAAGGAAGCATGAAGTGGGGAGGGAGGAGAGGACCTTGGTGAAGCCTGACCAGGGCACTAGTGCTTCCCCTTCTCCTTTCTCCTTGCTGGGGATACAGGAATGAACATTTATATCACACAGGAGATGTTTGCCACAAAACACGATAGTTTCAACTGCAAATGAGCTCTAAGGATCAGTTTCACTTGGTATAAACGCAGCTGTCCTCATACCTTAACCCATCACCTGACACGTTGAAAGAGAAGGAGAGAGTCGAGAGCCAAACACAATATTAATCAGAATTGAACCGTTCTTGGGACTCTCATTTTTCCTTCAGTTTCCATGTTTCAGTTACTTACTTCATTTCTCCCAAACACCAGGAATGATAGCCCAGGCAATGGCCTGCAACATCACTCATAGGGCAGATATTCTTGTCTCCAGCACAAATGTTTAGTTCTGGTTAGTCTGCAGCCGAAGCAGTTAGCCAGTTGGCTGAACTTCCCTTGTGCTTTCATCAGGGTTTAAAGTGAACCCATGCTGTCAAGGGAGACGGCAGATATTTTATCCTTTTTTCACATTTATGTGCTCTGAAACAGCTCAACTGGGACAAGTT